CTAGAAAACCAAGTAGGTGTTTGTGGCTTTCCACTACCCAGCAGGGCACATGAGGAGTTGCTGATTGGCTCTGAACAAAGCCCTGTCCCTTTCCAGTATTCTTCAGACACAGGGATAGTGGCCTTGAATGTAGGAGGCAGTTAAAGTAGGTCAAAATCTTGGAGGGTTCCAGACTCTAGCAGGGGTCTAGCTCCCCTCCTCACAATGGGGTGAAAGAGAGGAGAAGTGGGAATGGGGGTTGCCAGAAGGACTCAGTATCACAGTGGAAGTCACCATAAACGATCGTGGCTGATTAAAAGGCAACATGTCTAAAGCAGACAGAAGGGAATACATTTATATGCAATGTACCTCAAATCTGCGGAACTCGCTGCTGTAGGATGTTGGGGAGGAAAACAGCTGAGGAAGTGCTTTAAAAAAGTATATGAACATGAACATCTGCAGTTACACTTGCTAGGATAAAATGGTGAGGGAGACACCAGTCATCATGCTTCAAGGCATAAACTCAGAAACAATCAGTGTCAGCTAGAAAATTGGTACAGCGTTACTCGTTGGGCACTGCCTGTTGTCCAAGGCCCCAGTTCAGGAAAGCACTTAACTTTAAGCATGTGCTTAAATCCTACTGAGACCAATGGGACTTAAGCACATGATTGAGTACTTTGCTGAACTGGGGCCCAAGACCAGGATTCCAGAGTAGATGGATTATTGCTCAGCTCCTGTGTAACAATTCCTCTTTGGAAGGTTTCCTTCTCAGAGAAGCTATTTCGCAGCTAGTGCTAGGAAAGGGAGGGAGGGATGCTGCACCTTTGGGCTCCTGTCTGATTCCCTTCTGGTCTTTGGGACCCCTGAGCTGGACAGGGGTGTTTCTCTGCCAAAGCAGCTACAACTCTAACAGGGTAGGGCCAGTTCAGAAACATCTCCAGCTGTGTCTGACCAATTGCCTAGGTCACCTTGTCCCCAATACAGGTTGGGGAAGCTGTCTTCGGGATGCACAACATGACTCAGTGAGCATCAAACAGGCCAGGACAGTAGCCTTGTGGTCTGTACTGCCAGGCAGGAGACCTGGTATCATTCTAACTCCCTCCTCGTGCTCCCTGGGCTGGCAGCAAGTGTGCTCAGCCCTGGAGTTGGAGGAAGGGGTCTTGTTCTACCACGCCCTCCCTGGCTGATGAAGGAGCTGCACTGATTGGCTCCTCCCCTCTCTCCTCGGCCAAAAGTGCGTCCCCCATCTTTACCATATGCTGCTGTCTGTCAGGATCCATCACTATACAGGGACATGAATGCCCAGGGCAGGAAGCCCCCCTCATCTCTCTTTCATACCTAAATTAAACATTGGAATTGGAATGTCCCAGTGAAATAAGGGCGGGTGGCAAAGCCCGTCTGGAAGGTTTTAAGGCTGAAGCCAATATATTACATAGGTACTCTTTGCTGTCCTCCATCTCTCTCTCTCTCACACCACCACCCCCCACACACCCATCTCTCTCTCTCTCACACACACACACACACCCATCTCTCTCTCTCTCACACACCACCCCCACACACATACCCATCTCTCTCTCTCACACACACACACACACACACACACCCATCTCTCTCTTACACACACACACACACCTATCTCTCTCTCTCTCACACACACACACCCCACACCCATCTCTCTTTCTCACACACACCCCACACACACCCATCTCTGTCTCTCTCTCTCTCTCACACACCACACCCATCTCTCTCTCTCTCACACACACACACACACACACACACACACCCATCTCTCTCTCACACACACACACCCATCTCTCTCGCTCTCTCACACACCCACACACCCATCTCTCACACACACACCCACACACCCATCTCTCACACACACACACACCCATCTCTCACACACACACCCCACACCAATCTCTCTCTCTCACACACACACACATCTCTCTCTCTCTCTCACATACACACACACACACCCCGCACACCTATCTCTCTCTCTCACACACACACACACCCCGCACACCTATCTCTCTCTCTCCTCCCCAAATATCAGTTTAAACTCAATGGTGAGCCTTATAAGGCCACATCATTTCAGGACCTGGATGCAAGGAATCAAAGTCCCCAGCAGAGGGCAGCAACTCTTCAACAAAAACAGACAGGGATAGTGTCTGGCCTGAGAGTCTTACAGAATCTTCCTCGGGAGGTGGCCGTTGGGACCCCATGAGAAGCTGTGGGAAACCTTCCCATCCAGTTGTAAAGAAAGGGAGGGTCCGAGTGACGCCCAGGCTGGGACCCCTGCATTAGAAAACTCCCTGCATATAATGCTGGGCAGCAGGAGTGTGGATCAAGACCAGGTGTGTTTGAAATCTGGCAGGATTGCCCTGACGGGCCATGGTTTAGACCATACACAGGAGAGGGTGAGAGGGTGGTGCTGGGGGGACTACGATTTAAATGAGGGGCCCAGTTCTCCTCCCACTTGCACCAGTTTTGCACGGTGCCAACTTCAGCAAGGTAGGGTTACCATATTTGAACTTTCAAAAAAGAGGACTCTCAGGGGGGGAGAGCCCCGCTCCCTAGCCACTCCCTCCCACTTCCTGCCCCCTATATAACCCCCAACCCATCCAACCCCCCCTGCTCCTAGTCCCCTGATCTCCCCCTCCCGGGACCCCACCCCCATCTAAGCCTCCCTTGTCCTTGTCCCCGACTGCCCCCTCCTGAGACCCCCCCCAACTGCCCCCCTAGGATCCCACTCCCTACCTGTCCCCTGACTGTTCTGACTCCTATCCACACCCCCGCCCCCACCAGATCCCCGGGACTCCCACGCCTATCCAACTGCTGCCTGTCCCCTGACTGCCCCCTCGAACCCCCAACCCATCTAACCCTCCCTGTCCCCTGACTGCCCCAATCCCTCTCCACACCCCTGCCCCCTGACAGCCCCCCCATAACTCCCAACTCATCGAAACCACTCCCTGCTCCCTGACAGCCCCCCAGGACTCCCCTTACCACCATGCCGCTCGAGCCACTGGCTCCACCTGGAGCAGGCTGCCGCGCTGCTGTGTGCATAGCCCCTCCCCCACAGAGTGCTGAGGCAGGGGGAGGGGGGACCGGGGGAGGGGCTCCGGCTGCTGGAGGCCAATGGGAGCGGCTCAATCGGGCCCAGCCACCCTATCAGCCGCACCGCACTCTGCATGGAGGGGGGGCGGTAAATCCCGGACCTTTCTATCTTATTACCAGTTCCTCCCGGACGGCTATTTAAAGACGAAAAAGCCGGACATGTCCGGGGAAATACGGACGGATGGTAACCCTAAGCAAGGTCCCTCCTGGTTTTCGTGGAGGTCATTGAGAGGAGAATCCGTCTCTGTTTGCGGGCAGCCTGGCAGCTCCCAAGAGGAGGAAGGGAGTATCTCACATCCACCTGACACAGGAGCAGGGTGGGAGCCACATCCTGCAAAGAGTGTGGGTCACTATGACAGGACCATGCCAGGTGGGGGGCACTGGGAGAGCTCCAGAGACCCTCCCCCCTCCGCCTTTCCCCCTCAACCCTTAAAAACAAGCTCCTTCAGAGGAGATTAAAGAAGAGAGGTTGTCCTATTACAGCCTTGCCAAGCTGGGCTCCATTCAATGATTCCACTGGTGTCCCTCTGACCCACCCCAGCATTTATATCTATGTTAATCAAAAGCAAGTGGTGATGGGCTTGAGCCAGAACCATGAATCTGAACAGCCTGAGCTTTATGGTGGGGACTGGGGGGGAGGGGGCGGAATTCACACATTGGCCCATCACTAAAGAGAAGGACTCGAAAGCAGATCTTCAGCTGAAACAGCCAATACAGCGAACTGCGCTGGGCTCAACCAAGTACAATGCGTTAAACAGCAGCTTTACTTCCAGCCACAGAAATTGTCCATGTTATCGCGGGCAGGAGAGGTGAAGACTTTAAATGCTGCAGTCGGAATCAGCGTGTTGAACCATTTCAAATCAACATGGACACATCTCCACATACCATTAGAAAATACAAAATAACGCCAACACCTACAGTCGCGGGCCACGTGGCCTATTTACAAAACAACACCCAAGGTTAGTCATGTTTAGGGACTGCCACTGTACATGGACTCGTCTGTAGAAACTGAGAAGAAGAGGACTCTCTTGATGTACTGACAGTGTACAAGGAAGGTGATTTCTAACACTCTTGGCAGAGATGCAGTTAAGGCGTGGCACAACATATCAATTTCATGTTCAGATGGGCCCAATCTACTGAGTTTGGATCTAGGGCCAATCCCGATCTTCCCAAACGTTCAGAAGGGTGGTTGGATCCTCGGTGTCAAGGCCCATCTTGGCACTGAAGGCCTATTGGAGGTAAGTGGAAGATAAGAAGTCCTTTGTTTTCTGTGGGGTTCACTTTTGTTGTTGGCTAGTGGGTTATGCCAATCCATCTACCTTACAGTTGTCCCATGAGGATGTCTGAGCTTAGATTTCCCCCCCATCCCCAGCCATCAGATGCCTTCAAGTTACATTGCTTTAAAATTCAAAGCTGTTAATAATTAGAGATGGGCCTGAACTCAAACCCAGATTCCAAAGACACCCAAACTTTGGAGATGCTTAAAGTCTGAATTCCAGTCTTAGAAAGGCCTTCAAGACAATTACATTTCACCAGCACAGCACTTACTAACACCTCAGGATCAAGAAACTACTTACATGTGAGAGAGTATTTCCGAGGACATATTTTTATCAGCTATAAGGCAGCAAATAAGGTTCATTTATCAAAAAGTCAGTAACAGATGAGTCTGACTTTCTAAAGATATGAAGGAAAATAGGTCAGGAGACACTTAGAGTTCCCGAATTACACACAGATGTGCGCAACTGGGTCTATTACTCATAACCAGGGTGGTTTGAGCCTCTTTGACGCTGAAGCATAATTCTAATGCACTTTTTTAGCAGCATGGTTCATATATTGAACTGTACGTGGTGAACCTTGCAGAGTCAGGGCCTGGAAAGAAAACATCCATTTATAAGTAGGTCACATCCTGTCTGCCTTAAGAGTTGCTTGTTATCCAGCTTTCCCTTGTTCTGTAAAGTTCTCCCAAGGGCAGATAACTTCCTTCACAGAGTCCTTACATGCCCGGGGGCAGTCCTCCTCTTCCTCCTCAGAGTCTATTGGGTAGATTCTGCTCTCTAGAGGAATATCCACTTTTATCTGGAAGAAGCTGTGTTGTAAAATGAAAACTCGTCATACACAAGGCACTTTCTGAAGTGCTTTCTGAAGACAACCAACGCGCAGCATGGAGTTTGGCTTTGAGTTTTTCTATTTCATAGAATCATAGAATATCAGGGTTGGAAGGGACCTCAGGAGGTCATCTAGTCCAACCCCCTGCTCAAGGCAGGACCAATCCCCAGACAGATTTTTACCCCAGTTTCCTAAATGGCCCCCTCAAGGATTGAACTCACAACCTTGGGTTTAGCAGGCCAATGCTCAAACCATGTGGCTCGAAGAGGGGAGAATACATATACCAACCCCACTGAAGCAAAAGTGCTGAGTGCCACTGTTCCACAGCCAAGTGAATTAAGAGGTCTTGAATTTGTGCATCTGTTTTTGCAGTTTAGGCTCAGTTACCTGGTCAGGAGCAGAGATAGACCTAAAAGTGGCAGGGGAGGGCTTTCCATTTGGATTAATTTTAGACTAGGAGAGGAACCAGGGCTAAGGCGTGAGGGTGATGGAATCTCCAGGCCAACACCTCTTGGGTCATAGGCTGGTGTTGTACTATTTTGACCCCAAATGGTGGAACTCTTGAGATCACCTCACAAGGTTCCCCCCATCTTGTGATCTGTTCTTCCACCTCCGTGGGCCACATCTGAACCAGATCTGGGGAAAGACTCCTTCTGGTGTTGGAACCAAAGCCATAGGAGTGCATTTGGAAATTCAGCGGAGTCTGAGAAGTCAGATTTGGAAGGCCTACTTGCTAGACTGCTCTGACATTACCCACTAATGTCTTTAAGGGCAACAACCAGTGCTGGATCTTTCCAGCAGTGCTGCCACCCTCTCTGCCTATTGTCAAGGTGGCCATTCAGCACAAGAACAAAGTGCTCACACCAGGACAAAGGCATCATTTGAAGATCGACTGTGCCTGGAGACAGGCAGCACAAAAACCAAACAAGCTCTCCTGAGCTGTGGTTTTCAATTAGACTGTAAAAAAAAAATCCCTTTGTGGGCCTGAGTCCCAGTTCTTCTTGCAGGAAAACACATTAGCTCGGAGAGACCTGCATGAGGTAAGATGACCGGGAAGGATACAGACTCCGAGGAGGCTCAATGTGTGTATGTCAGCAGCCTCCCTCCCTCACCATCAGTCCCTGCAGCTCTATTTGTCTATCATACTCGTATGCCCTCCATCGTCACAGTATCTGTGCACCTCACAATCTTTAATGGTTTTGCTCTGTTGGAAGATGCGAATGGCTGCCACCAGTCACAGATCTGGGTGAAGTCTAAGCACTCGTGTGCTGGATTAATGAAGGAGAAATTAAGTGTCCGTTGTTTAGTGATAGCTGACACAATAGAAGCCACCGCACAAGGCACGGACCAGCACAGCAAGGCTAAACCCTGGGGGCTGAGGTGTTTCCCTGGAGACTGATTGCAAACACGGGGGCTGGAGCTATTACCGGTTGGCAGCTGTGTGTGGGTGAAAGGAACCCGAAAGCCAGGAGACAGTGAGAGAAGCAGTCATGAAGGCAGCCCTGAGAGGGAGCAGAGACAGAGCTCTGTGGGACAAAGGACTGGCTGGAGAGGCAGGCTTGGAAACTGTGAGCCAGGAAACTGCCTGCTGCTGTTTGTTTCTACTGTGGTCAGGGAAACAGGGCTGTGTCCACATTCTTTGTAAATAAACAGGATTGCACCAAAACCTGACTCATAATTAATTTCTTCTCCTAATAGAAACAGCCCAGCAAGGCCCTGAATATGGGCTACCCATTTGGGCCATGGGGAAACAGGATTTATCCTCACAGCAGGTAAGGAGGCAATATTATCCTTGTTTTACAGGTGGGGACAGATGCTAAGGGACTTGCCCAACGTTACCCAGGGAGTCTGTAGCGGAGCAGGGAATTGAAGCCAGGTCTCCTAAATCCTAGGCGAAAGCCCTAACCACTGAGCCCGAGCCAAACTCCCCATCTCTTGTGCAGGCCTGGGCCGAGCGGAGGGTTGGAAGATCCCTGGCTACATCCCCAGATACAGCTGGGTCTGAGGGAGGTGAGGAGGGGGAAAGACGACGACACTGAGGAAGGGGTAGGGTATGTCAAACACGCTCAGGCACTGGGGTGCAGGGAGCCTCAGAAATACAATAACCCAGGCAGCTCGTTCTCATGGACACAAATCCTGCCAAACCAAACTCCCATGCGCTCCCTGCTGAGGGCAGCCCGGGGGGCAAAAGGAACCCTTTGACAGGGCCCCAAACCAAGCCAGATGGGGTCACAGCGCCCCTCTGTCACAACGGAGGGCAGTTGGCCCAAACCTGAGTCACGGCTCTGTGAGCCAGGTCTCAACCCCCAGGCAGGAGATGAGCCCAGCCCCATGGGATAGGAGCCAAGCCACCGCTACAGGCGCAGGTGTAACCCACACAGCTCACTCTGCAATACCCCCTCTCCTCCAGTGCTCCCCTCAGTGGTAAGGCTTTTAGAAGGGGGGGGGTGAGGGGAGGCTCCATTTCAGATTTGGTCCCAGCCACCCCCCCAAAAAAAACCCTCTGTGCAGCCCTGTCAACAGGGCCCCCCAGGAGCATTGCAAGCAGCAGGCTGACATGGGGATTTGCAGCCCACGTAATGCAGGGCAGGAGGGCACAGGGCAGGGAAAGTGAGCGATATTGCTGAGTTACCCCCTCCCTTGCAGAGCTACGGGCCCCGGGCACTGGCTTACCTTGGGGGCTGCTGCCCTGCAGGGCTAGCTCTGAATCCAGACCGGCTCGAGGGGAAGGCAGCAGGGCCTGCAGGTGAGGCTCATCTGTAGCCTCCCACACCAGCAGGTGGTGGCAGAAATGCTGTATTGCAGCCTCCCTATCCCTGGGCTGAAAGGGAAACGGGGGCTGCTCTGTTAGCTAATGTGTGTGTTGTTCCTCTGGCTGGTTCCTAGCTTGTCTCTACAGGGTTGGGGTGTCATCCCCATGCCCACCCCATCTGCAAGCTTCCTGTTGGCCCAAAGAGCAGAGGAGATGAATGGTTTCACGCACACAATGGACAGGTGTCTGGGAGCAGGTGTGAAACTGGTTTAGGCACAGCAGGCCGGGCCTAGCTATAGAAGTTAAGCAAGAGCTGGGGGCTTGGGAAACGCTGGAAGAGATCTCTGCCCTTCCTCCCACCACTGAGCTTGGGGGTCTACCCCCCGGGGCTCACCAGCTGCAGCCTCCGGCGATCGTCGTCGCTGAGAGCCTGCCCCAAAGGCTGGTGGTGTTGGGGGAGGGGGCGTTTGCCTGCTGGGTATTTCCCTCTTTCCCTTCCCCCGTCTCCTTATTTGAAAATTCTGACAAGTTGAAGAGCTTTTCAGAAGTTGTAGGCATCTTGGCAAGACCCTCTGACTTCTCAGGGCTCTTCCACTCGTCGGTGAGAGACAGAGAGCGCCATTCTCAGTTACTCTGGCCCTGCGCTGAGTGCGGTGCCGGAGGGGGTGGGCGGGGTGGTAAGCCACCTTCGCACGCCCCATGTTCGGAGACTCTTCAGTGCCCCTAGTGTTAGAGCCATCTCAGAGCTGTGCTAATTTATACCCTACTTCTCGCAATCCCGTTCTCTTGAGAGTATAGCTGTAGACCTGTGAGCTCTGTCCATCTCCCTCTCTGCACCTGGCCCACCCAGATGTTCTCAGGGGGCCATGTCTGCCCCATGGGAGGCCCCTTCATGGTGCCAGAGAGCAACATATAATTAGGCGGAAAGAGCATGGCTAGCGAGGTGCACACCACTACCTGGGAGTCCCTCTCACCCAAGCTGGATGCCTGTAATCACTCAGAGCTGAGTTCCTTCACACACCACAGGGGTACTTACTTGGTCACTTTTTTGGACTTCTGCTGCAGTTGTTGTTCCAGGTCATCCAGTGGCTGGACCTTTCCGTGGGTGACAGCCGGGCACTTCGGCGAGAGAGTGGCAAACACCGGTGAGTTTAAACATCCCCGTTTCAAGAACCTGCTGAAGGACAAGGTCGTCCGGGATTTGGGAGGCACCTTGGCTTCCATGTTCCCCGGCACCTGGCTGTTGCAAGTGCCTGATTCAGAGTCCATGGAAATCTCTGTGCTCTCAGTGATAGAAGGAAAGTGGTTAGTGTTAGATTCATTGGCTTCCCACTTCCTCTCCAAGCAGGGGGTGCTGTCCAGGGCTACGCTAATGGGTGAGGGGCAGACAGTGCTGTTTGGCAGAGTGATGTGTCCAGGGGATTGGGAAGGCAGGTTGTTTGGGATGTGGCAGGAGGGGTGCGGAGTTGATGGAGATGAAGGAACAGAGGTACCGGTGTACACAGCCAGGTGAGGGACCGGAGCAGTGAACTGACACAACTGCAGAGAAGAAAAGGAGACATTTTAGAGCAGGAAAAGCTGCCTGCTAGTCATGGGATACACAACACCAAGCCCCAAAACCCTCCCTCTAGCTACCAACTGGAAATAATTCCCCCGGAGAAGGCAAGTGAGAGATTACGAGCATTTTGGGGGATATATAGTTTACTGGAGCTCAGAGATCACAGCAATGTGGGGCAGGTAAATACCTCAAAAGGTAGGTAGGTAGACTGTGTATATGAGAGACTGTGTGATGGTGCCCTCTAGTGACTGGCCCTGAGATAGGCTAAGGGACCCACTACTGATAGCTGCTGGAAGAGCTCTCTCTTAGCTCAAATGATAGAGGCTTGTGTTCTTGGATCTGCAGGACCTGGCATCCCTGCAGGATGTACATAGTAATGGTGGTTGTCAGATCCATAACAGCAGGAACCAATTTATCTGCCTGGCACTGAATTACCCCTGGCACATCTACCGTGCCATAGAAATGCTGAGGATTATTAATAACAACACTCCAGAGAGCGAAGACTTGGATGGCGAATCAGGTTGACAGCTTGTGGCCCGTATTGTAGGTGAGGCTGATGAACACATAGGCTAGAATTTCCCCACATGGAGGGCCTCTGACTAGGCCATGGGTGGAGAGGAGAAGCGCTACCTGACCCCGGATGTGTCCCCTCAAAGAGGCTCCTGTCTGCTGGTTCAAGCTGCTGTCTGCTCCTACAGCCACCAAGGGGCATCCCTAGCTGAGCAGCATGGAGTCCATGGGGCCGTGAGGGAATTGAGAAAGGGAGCAGCTAGAGGGCAGAGCAAAGGAAAGGAAAAATATGGAGAACAAAAGAGAGAGACTGGACAGAAAATTAAAAGGAGGGGAAATAACCCAGGAGAAAAGGAGGGAAGGGAAAGGAGCAGAACAAACGAGAGATGGTGGCAGCTGGGTCAAACCATCACGGTAGCTCCACCAAACCAGCGCTGGAAACTGCTTCCACAGGAGTGGCCCAAACTCACTGCAACCCCAATGCACCCTGGAGGAATTTGGACCTGGATCAGTGCCTGCATTTCACGGGCCATTAATAATGGTCTGAGCCAAAATCCCACCAAGAACACACCGAGCTTGGAGGAAAGTTTGAATCCAGACCCAGACTTTTGAAGCTTGAGCTCACCTCTAACAAGATGGGCCCGGACGGCAAGAAACGTATCCACGTGTGGGTCTAGACATTCCAGAGTGCTGAGCTGGGGGATTGCCTTGAGACCCATCTCTCACTGCCTTTTGCAGGGCCTTAGGGCAGCTAACTCAGCTCTGATCTATCACTTTTCACCCCAAGCTCACAAATGGCTTTGCAAAGGCGGGTGAGTATCATTATCCCCTTTATAGAGCTGGGTAAAATGAAGCATAGAGATGTGACTTGTCCAGGATCAGAACCTACATCTCCTGATTCCCAGTCACCTGCCCTACCCCTGGACCAGTCCCCTAGATCATTGCAGTATTGTTAATGCAAGTTGCCTTTGCTTTGTCCTGTCAGCTCAGCCAAATCTTAGCTGCACAGGAGAGCTGCCAGCTTTTCTTCACTCCAAACTCTGACTCTCCTCTCCAAAGGATACAACTTGGTGTTATCTTCAGAGCATCCTCCCCCCAAAGCACTGTGCACTTGGGACAGGACAATCCCCGCCTGTCTGCCCCTGCATCAAAGAGCCAGAGGGAAGCCAGATGCAGAGTTTTGTTCTACCTTGTTGCCTGTGGTGGGCTTCCACACCATCAGATCAACTACTCTTATTATCTTTTCTTATGTTTGTTAATATAAGAAAGAGCGGGCAAGAGAGAATAGGGATTGAACCTCCTTGAAGAACAAAGGACGGAGGACTAAAAAAAAAAAAAAGAAAGATACAATTCCCTGACAAATGCCGCTGCCACCATGCCACCGAATACAGCTTTTCAAACCTGATTGTCATGAGCAAACCTGATTCATGACACCCCACGATGTGAGGGATTCTCCTCCCGCATTCAGGATAGGTTGGGTGGGATGCTTTGAGGGCTTTCTGACAAGCAGGAGCTGTCCCCTCCATGACCTCTCTCCTCTGGCTCAGTCAGACTTTGGGGAACTCTAAACTTGTTGCTTTGAGCTGCACTGAGAAGAACTAGCGCTATCCTAGCTATGCAGATGCTTCCATCCACCGAACTCCCTCCCATTGGCCTTGAAGATGGCAGATCTCCAGGGGAATGAGGTATTGAAGAAGTCATCTCTTCTTTCTTTCCCTTACATGCTGATATGGCCATCTGTAAGCATAGCTGGGATTGCACAGAACAGGCCGTGGCTGCACGTATAAGGGCAATGCTTAGGCCGGAACAAGAATGAATGATGGATTCATTTCATGCCACAGGACGGGCCTTAGGGACGGTGAGGCGTGGAGGTGCTCACAGAATCAGAGCAGCAGTAGGGAGTTCAGTGAGGGTGTAAAGGTCTGTCTCCATGAGCTAGCAGGAAGAATGGATGAGCCAGATGATGGGGCTCCAGATCCCAATCTGCCTTTGCGAAATCATCGCTCTCTAGAGAGTCGGAATATCTCAGCATTTCAGAGACTTGGACAGAGTTACTCTGAAGCATATACACTGATGTACCAAAAGGGGGAGCTAGAGGGGACCTGGGGCCTGATCGAGAATCCACTGAAGTCACTGGAAAGATTCCTATTGGCTTCAACAACCGCTGGACTGGGCCACGGTTACCAGGCAGATTGTTATAAGGGAGCTCATCTTACCTAATTCATTAAAAAGAGATTAGTTGTAAGCAGGGAGTTCTGGGAGACTATAAGGCTCTGTTGTTGCTAGTTACAACTGGGGAGCGTATCTAGTGACAACCCGGTTAGCCCCCGAATCCATTACAACATGGTTAAAGCATGTAGTGAGGGCGGGACTTTGGTTATGGATGGCATAACCAGGCTAAGATCTGACTTGAAGGTGCATGTGTGATGGACGCCATCTTGGCTGACTCCTCAAGGACTGACCCAGGGACCTCCAAAACTATGAAGCACAAGCACCAAGGCTGTCTAGCTGCGGCTGTAACAGTCTTGTGACCTCCATGGGAGACCGAGTGTGCACCCTCACCTGTGGGTTACACAGGCTCAGAAGGATAATTTGCCAATGGTTTTATCCTAGATGATGCATTTCAGGCTTCTCCAAGGCATGGCTTTACCATAAGGTCTCTACCAGCAGAAATAAAAAGATGCTCAACTGTTTAAACCAAAATGTTAAAAGCAGCAGCACAAAAAGTAAATACACACATGCAAAGAGACAACACAATGAAGGACAAACACAATGGTCTTTTCCATTTTCTACATACACTTTTATTAGACAGATGAGCTAAAGCAAATAAAACAAAGAAATGATGGCTAAAAATCAATGGAGATCCATTGGAATGCAATGAAATCCAATGGACACGAAATCCAATGGCAGATTCGGAGTGAAGTTCAATTCATAGCATGCTGAGGGGGATGGCCGATAAACAGGCCTACTCAGAGAAGATGAAGAGCAAGGGGTGAACGCAGCCAGCTACAAATGGAATACAGTGTGAGACGGGGCACCAAAAATGAGCTTACTTCTAAGAGTGCTGGTATTTGGTCATGATCTTGCCAGTCCTGGGTAGATGTTTCACACTCACAGGGTCTGCCTACGCTGCATCAGAGGTGTGACTGAAGCACATATCGACGCAGTGAAGCTGCAGCAACGTGGGCTGGTCAGGCCCACCTAGGACCTTGGGTACAGATGCAAGCAGCAAGCCCATGCTGCTGCCCCTACTGCTGTGCCTTCCCTGCTGCTGTTGTTGGCGCTAGCTACACCTCTGTCTACCCGGGCTGCAGTCACACCTCTGATTGCAGGGTAGAAATGATGGCTGGGCAGTGTTGGGACTTAGATAAAATCTGGGGAAACCAGTCAATGGAGGTGAGAACTAAAATCGATTCATTAAGCCGACTGACTGGAACCTATTTTATTATTTGTGTTATGACAGCATCTAGGAGCCCCAATCATGTATCAGGGACCCATTGTGCTAGGTATAGTACAACCTATAGAGAGACTATAGAGCTCACATGGTCCTTGGTTTCCCTTAGCTGTCCATAAGCTTACAGGAGATCCCACATTGCCTCGGACTGACCCTGCTAACTGCAGAGTGCCCTCAATAACCATGTAAGTGGAGAGTGGCTGACAGTGCCCAGCACCTTGCAGAACTGACCCTGCCAAGTGTGGGATACGTTTGAGAATGTAACGCCTGCTCCCGCTCCCACTAAAAGCAATGGGGATAATGCCATTGACTTCAACAGGAGCAAGAGCAGAGCTTTAACAGGCAGGCATCCAAATCAGAGTGAACAAACCAAACATACCACATGTTGTTTCAACTCCTCCAGGAAGACCTAGCTGTCATTATGTTAGCGCAGCTCAGGAGTAGGGTGACCAGACAGCAAGTGTGAAAAACCGGGACGGGAGTGGGGGTTTATAGGAGCCTATACAAGAAAAAGACCCAAAAATCAGGACTGTCCCTATAAAATCGGGACATCTGGTCACCCTACTCGAGAGCCTCCTGCACCCTAACCATATGTTAGAAGAGGAGCTCCTCTCATTTTACAGTGATACCAGAATGGGACACAGGGACGGCCAGACTGGATCAGACAAGCAGTCCATCGAGCCCAGTATCCTGTCTCCAATAACAGCCAGTACCAGCTGCTTCAGAGGAAGGTGCAAGAAATCCTGTAGGAGGCAGATGGGGAGTAACCTGTCCCCCAGGTCTGGTTCTTCCTGACCCCTATTAGTTGGAGGCTGGCATATACCCTGATGCATGACCATTTATATCCCTTCCAAAACCCTTGGGGGGTTTAATCATTATTCTTCTAACGCTGCATGTTCCCATTACAACAAAAGTTTGTTCTTACCTGTAAGTTTCTTACCTACCATGCCAAAGGCGGCACTCTAGCATGTTCTGATGTGCACGTTCGGCACATTCTGACCTATGCCCGGGAGGAAACGAGGACTGGACAAATGTAATGGGATCTGACCACAGTTCAGAAAGGGGCTGCAGCAGAATGGTGACGGTATAGGCTAGAGTGGGAGCAGAACCTGGCACAATCTGGACTCTCGAGCTAGGATTTTTAAAGGAGCCTAATGGAGTCATGTCATTAAGAATGGGATTTGTGTGCCTAACTCCCCTAGGCTGAGTGGAACCTGGCTTTTCCTGGGAAGGTCAATGAGGTGCCTCCAAGGACAGGGTTCTCTATGCCCACTGTTAGCCCCTGACTGCCGATGGGATTCCAACCTCATGGGAGGCCTTCGTTGTTCTAACTGACTGGTGAGGGCATCTCTATGGGAGGAGTGGGGGGTAACAGTAAAAGAAAGAAGCAGCCCAGAATTGAAGCAATGCGTGTGAGAGATGGAAGGACTTCCCTTCGCCTTCTCCCTCCCCCCACTGCCCAGGACATTAGAACTGGCTGCTGTCTCAGAGACAGAGTCCTGGGTGGAACAAAGGTGCACCAGCTCCCATCAACTTGCAAGAGTTTGGGACCTCACAGAGTGGCCCAAGGTGATAACGGGGAATGTCGGAGGCTCCCCAGCTCACAGCTCCAAACCCTTACATGGTACGGATGGCGTCTCTCTGAAATGCACCACCGCACAACATGACAAATGCTCTGGGAGCTGAACTACACTGGCTACTGAACCAGTGTACAGCTGCAAGGCGCTGGCATGGCTCTGCCCCCAGTGCAGAAAGGCTGAAACTCATGTCCAGATAAAGAGGAGAAACTGCTTCTGGGATTCTTCACCTCCACTGCACCTCAGCCCTGTTGCCAGCCACATCCTGCTCTCGCTGCCTCCAGTAAAATCATCCCAGCGAGAGCAGTGGATGAGCAAGACCGAAAGGATTAAAACGTTTTCTGAGCCTCAACGTTTGCCCATCCCCCAGCATCCCCTAAATTCTGAAGGAGGAGGAAACTTCTTTACCTTCCGCCCCTGGGTTTTCCACAAATCCCATCGTGTCCTGGTGACCTTGGCTGGTCCAGCCCCAGGGGCTTCCCAGACAGGTTGGGTATCTCCCTGAATTGTGCTTTGTACCTAACTGGAGGGTTTAGGTTTCAGGAAGTAATTTCCACTCCCCATCCCCTCTAAAAAGGAACAGGAGAGTATTTTATTACACTAGGGGCTGAATCAGCCCTTCTGACCTCTCTCGATCACAGCGGCTTCTGGGCCACTGGGCTACAAGCCGGGATGCCCACTGGAAGCTGAGGTTTGTTCATTTTTAACAAGGGGAAAGAGCATCGCAGGGCAAAGACAAGACAAGAGCAAGACAGGGTTTGCTAAAGGAAACCCATCAGGAGCAAGGCACTGCTCTTCCACCCGTCTGTCCTAGCAGGAGGCTGCTCTTCCCTCCAGGCCCATGCATAACTCATTACATGGGTGAGTTCCTGAGGGACAAGGAGAAATCGCTCTCACTGCTAACCACCTCTAGGCTGAGATCTTCAAAGCTGCCTAGGGAATATGGGGGCCCAATTACCATTAAAATGAGTAGGGCATCCAAACCGCCTAGGTGCCTTTGGAAATGTTAACCTTGCTGCTCCCACCAGGCATCCACCCCATCCTTCTGCACAGCAGCTGAGCACAACTACAGCCTCCATGTGCTCCCTCCTATTGCCACATGGGTGCAAGACACCCGAAGCAGAGCTGGCAAGCTGCACAGAGCAGTGCTTGGGGTACTAGCGGTGGGCATGCTCCCACAGCATGCCTGAGAGCGCCAAGAGGTGATGGACCTTCTTGTGCTCCCCCTGGGGTGGGGTGGCTCTGCCCCACCTGACCCAGAGGACGGGGACAGGAGAAGGAGCTGAGTGCTACGCTGCCTTGGGCATCGTAACAGAATCACGATCCGAGTTCTCTGGGTCGCAGGCAGGGATTTAAGATGACACAGATGGGAGTTTTGGATCCTGGGCAAGGTTTGGGGCAGTTATAAAACATCCCTTCCCGGACTTGTAAAAGGAGCACATCGCATGGGACCCACAATGCGATTCGGACACAGCCGGCTTTCTGACTCTAGCAGCATTGCCGTGCCTGTGACGTGACAGCTGCTGCTAGGTGCCATGGCAACCTGCCGGAAGCAGGCTGCAGGGAGGAAGGGGTCTGGAAAGGTAAAGCAGCACTGACACCTGCAGGTGGGGGGCAGGAATCTCAGCACCGGCCTTGCCAGCAGCCCCTTGTCTTGTCTTTCCCCTGCTTTGTGCCCTAGACAAGGATCTGGAGCCTACTTAGGAGGCTCCTGCTTGAGCTGGCTCCTACGGTCCAGCTTGCTCATAACCTGGGTAATATCCACGTTTGTTGCTGCTTCTTTGGCCTTGGCCTCTTCTTCCTGCTGCCTCAGGATGACGGGGCTGGGGCTGGAGCGGAGGTGACGGCGTGCGAATGGGAAACTGGAACTAAGCACAGAGAGAGAGAGAGAAGCAGGGAGTTACTGGGGGACAGAGGCAAAACTGACCAGAAAATGGGTCCCTGTCACCAAAAGCCCAAGGAACCTGCGTGGAGGGAGGGGGGTTGTTAGTGTCCTCCATTTGGAGCAAACGACCTGCTTAACCCAGGGTGCAGAATGTGCTTGCTACAGACTCACATTCCAGACATCTCAGCAGAACCCAGCCCAAGGGCCAGGCCCTGCCACAATTAACTCCCCTTAGCTTCTTCAGGAGCCAGGCTGGGCCACAGACTCAATCCCCGATGCTGCAAACATTGCAAACGATGATGCAAAAATCGCCCCACCGATGCCAGGGCAGTTCAGCCGCAGGATGCACTGAGCAGACTTTTCCCGTGGCATTTCCTGTACATTCGTCCTCCCGGCCCGTTTTCACGCCGCCCAGATGTTCCGTTGTTATGAAATTTCATACAAGCAGTAACGTGATGATGAGATTGTGCAGGATTAAGACGCTTCATGTAAACCCCTTAGCTGGGAAAGGCTCCACAGTGCCATGAAGATGTCATGAAAATGGGACCAGGTTTGAATCGGCCAAACTGCTCAAATGTCACGGATTTCAAATTATGCTGGGAATATTTTGTCCAGCTCTATCAATGAGGGCCCAGTTCTGGCACCCGTAATCACTCTGAGTTCACACTGAAATCAGTGGAACTATCTGCACAGGAAGGTCTGACTTATCACGAATAAAGGTGGCAGAATCTGTCCCTAACCAAGGAAAATGGCTGTAAAATAGTAGCAAGCCCCCTCTCCTGTCTCATTTAGAATCTCTTAGAGAGGACACTGGATACAGAAACACCTAAATTCCGACACCAACCCGAGTCCAACAATAACCCCCAAATTTCCCTGGGCTGGTGCCAATTATTCCAAAGTAACAGACGTGTTTTCGATACACAGTAAATAACACAGCAATTTGCTGAGCAAGAAGCGCCTGGGCTGAAATCCCTGAGCATCCAGATGGCCCCAGGTAGAGAAGAAATACCAATTACAGAAACAGCCCATTCAATTAAATCCCTGAGGCTATGCATTAGATGTGCGTGTGGGCTCCTGTCACAGCGTCTGAACAAAGGCGGTGCATGTATGAGAAAACATATGATGCTGATACTGGACACTTTGATCGCATCTTTCAGCTAAGGATCTCAAGGCGCTTTCAAACAGCAGCTGGTTATGAATTCTACCAGCCCTAGGAGACAGGTGACATAATACCCATTTCACAGAAGGATATGTTGAGATACAGAGAGACAAAGAGTCTGATTTGTGAACGTGCATTAGTATACGCGCCATTTCCACCACTGTGCCAATTAGGCAAATGCATGTGCAAAGTAAGAGGTGTATGAAGCGTGCACATTTTAAAAGCAAACATGGTCTCAGTGAATGGACTGAAGCCACACAAATCAGTTGCAGAGCTGCCAGCAGAACAAAAGGGTCCTTGCTCCTAGTCCCAGATATGGGCGTAGCAAACTACCCCTTCATTATACACATCAGAAGGTAACTAACACTGAGCCTGAACCACTGAGGTCAATGGGAGTTGTGCCACTGACCTCAATGGGATTAGGATCAGGGCCATTATGTCCCTAATCATCAAACATGTGCTAGAAGGGATGGGAATGATGGGTGAGATTTTTACAAGTGCTCTCTACATTGGCCTAACTGCTAGTGACGTCAGTGGGCACTTTGCCATTGACTTCAGTGGGGGCAGTTATCAGTGTTTCTCAACAATCGGTCCGTGGACCGGCGCTGGTCCCTGAGATCTCCCTGACACAGCTTAGGAAGGCAGCAAGCCAGTCCCTGGTATCAAAAAGGTGGAGAAACCCCATTAGACCAATGCTCAAACCCTGCCCTAAACGCTTTCTGTAGTGAAATGCACTGCCAGTTTGGCTGCAAATTACTTCCCTCCCTTCCTGAGCAGTTTCACCTTACACCACCCTGAGCAGACCTAGAGCAAGGCTCCTCGCTAACCTCTACTCGCAAGGCATATTGGGCTCTGATGACCCTCTTTGGCTGTTTAAACAGGAGCTTTCATGTCCTCTGTGACGCACAGATCTCTCTCTCTCTCCACTTCCTTTGCTTTTCCGTGATGGAACCATTATCCACAACAATGAAAACAAGTATCAAATAAGCAGCCTTGGATGTGTTTTTCTCTCTCAGCGTATGCTGGATGCTGTCTGAAGTGTGAATATTACATCCCGGGAGCAGCTAGCTGCAAACATGAATGCATTTGCCAGAATTACAAGCGACCTCTCCAGGATGTGCGGCACGGCAGCAAGACAGTGGTGGCAGCTGGGCGTGTTACAGAGCTGCACCTTGCATCTGCTGAGGTGGGGAGGGAGGGAATCCTGATCAATTATCATCTACTATTGCAGTAGTATCTGGAAGAGCCCAGGACCAGGATTCTGCACAGCTAAGGCACAAGAACAAATCAAGTGCTGGTGTCTCTGCAGAGGAGACACAATCTCCTGACAGGGATCCCAACGTCCCTGAAGCCTGGGGTAATCTGGCATCTGTATCTGCTCCTCAATGGCCTTAACACGACCTGCCATTGGGAGTGGTGGCCCCCAGTAACAACCTCATCCAAAGCCCATTGAAGTTAGCAGGAGTCTTTCCATTGACTTCAATGGGCTTTGGATCAGACCCTATGAGAGCAGAGCTTGTGAGACCCCCTCCTCCTTACTTGCTGGGTTACGGGCTGTCAGGGGCACAGAGAGGAGCTCCCTGTCCCAGAGGCAGCAGCAGCCGCCCCTTTTGGCTCGGACATGGCAAGTCTGGCCTGATGAGACGACTGTACTTAAACCAGGCTGCCTGAAGTCCCTGAAACTGCTGCGCCAGCTGATACGAGAAGCCAGCATTTGATCTGGAAACAGTCTTGTGGAGCCGGATTTTCCGGTGCCTTGCACCTTGTGCCACCGTTCCTTCCCACCAGTGCAAAAGGGAGTGTCGGACACTATTACTTTGCTCTGCTTTGCACTGGTGTAAGCAGCTACCTGAGTGCAGGGCTGTGAGCGCTAACACCACAGGAATGCCAAGTGCCACGGAGCACAACATAGTTACCCCATCTCGCCTTAAAACCCAGAGGGCTTTGGATGGGATCACTTTAACCCTGCGTAGGTTCTCTCGGGCCTGATGTACAGCACCCCTCTGGGGGCGGGTGATTATTAGCTCAGCAATCACAGCCTTTCCATGCAGACGCAATAGACAAAAAAGGATTGAGCACTTGCAGCTAGGCTCTGAACTGCACACAAGCCGTTTCCACGGGGTTCACACACAAACAGGGTAATCAGCAAGACTTAAATCCACTTTAATTAAACAAATGTCTAAATCACAGTCATTTCGCTGAAACTCAGGCGCTTTGTATCCCCAGTACAATCAAAAAGCACATAACCCACAATTACACCCCAATTTACTTGCCTTTTCTTCACTGTCTCTTGGGGCACAATGGCCTTGGCCAACATCTCCTTGTATATTGGAGACTTTAAATAGCGACCATAAGAGTCCTACTGGGGGGAAAAGGGAAACCGGTAGTTATGGATTGCAAACAGCCTAATTAACATCATCTTTGAGTGCAGCTGCTCAGGAGCCAATGAGGCTGAGAAATTGGAAGTCTTGCCCAGCAGATCTTATTCATTAAAACCAGCAGCTTCTCATCCGACAGGAAAGTCCCCGATGTAGAATTCAGAACGAAAAGCGGATTAATGAGCCTAGCTCAAGACTAAGGTCTTTTAGGCTACGTCTACGCTGCAATAAAAAGCCCACTGCCCCGAGTCTCAGAGCCCGGGTCCACAGACACAGGCTCACAGGGCTTGGGCTGCAGGGCTAAAAATAGATGTTCGGGCTTGGCCTGGAACCTGGGCTCTGAGTCCCACCCCTCTCGTGGGGTTTCAGAGCCTGGGCTCCAACCCAAGCCGGAACGTCTACACTGCCGTTTTTAGCCCTCCAGCCCGAACCCCACCAGCCTGGGTCAGCTGACCTGGGCCAGCCAGGGCTCTTTTACTGCAGTGTAGATTTCCCCTCACTGTCATGGCAGTGTACTTCAAGATCCTGATTTGCCCTTAAGTTCCTTTAGGCTTCTCCATACAAATGTGCATCCTACCACATGTTGACTTGATCTAGGATGCAAAATGATAGATACCGAATAGGGTGGGCATCTAGAACTCCAGAGTTAAGATTCAAATTTGGGACTTCCTAGCTCATAGCCCTGAGTTCTATCCACTAACTAGAGCATGTTGCCTTATAATGGGATGGCATGTACCATTTCTTTCCCACTGCAGGGCAGCAAGTTGTCTCCTTTCAAATAGGGGTCACTTGGGAGCGCCAGCAGCCAGCATGCAGAGACACGGAAAGGCACAGACAAGCTGGGATGCCTTCCGGATTTGTAAGCAATTGACAAACCTTTTTCATGAGCATATAAATATGAGTTTGAGCAGCATCTAAAACGTAGCGATGAGGGTGCTTGAGACCTTTGACTGTGATGCCCATCGTTGTGCCATCAATGTTAATCCAGCGCCTTGCCCCTGGAGCCAGGAAGAGTCTGAAACCAGAAACAGTCAATTTCATGAAGTGAGAACTAATCGAGACTGTTCTGCTTCCACGGATGGAACGAAAAGTGCTTCCAACTGCCAGCCAGAATTAACCCCCGGTTCTTGGTCATACCCTAGGGTAGTAAACCTCCCTTTTGCCAGAATGACCACCTCAGGCACCACCTACAATCACATGCTTTGATGCCACAATTTACAGTATTAACAGTATTTTGCACTCAGGACCTGCTCCAAAACCCAGTGTGGGTCTTTCCATAGACTTCAATGGGCTTTGGGTTAGCCTCTCATCCGGAAAGCTCCAAGCGCTTTCACAAATATTAATTAATGATGCCTCATAACACTAATGAGAAGTATGGACATAATACCATCCCCATTCTCCCGACCGGATAGAGGAGGCTGAATATCACAGAATAAGACTTAGGCAGAACCCAGAGCTTTTGTCTCCCAGCAAGACTCGCCCTCTCCCTTGTATGAATCATTGGGTGGATAGGGGAGGGGAAAAGTTGCTTTATAATAAAACAACATTTGGTTTCTTTATCTAAAGGGGCTTCCTTCCTCCAGTAGGACTATCCCACATGCGTGCTTCATGCCAGCTCCCAAAAGAAATCCTGGCAGATACTCAGCAATCCACTTTTCCTAGAGGAGAGCAACACAAGGCAAGGATGGGGATGGCGACACATCAGGAAGATGGACTGAAAACCAAGGCATCCTAACACTCACTTGTAAATTTCTTCTGCTTTTTCTTTGACCTTGGATTGGTCTCCATACTTCAGGTCCTCACAGGCTTCCCAGAACCCCAGGTTCTCTCCTGAATAATGAGGGATCAGTGACAAGGGTGGGAGAGGGACAAAGAAAATGACGGCTGAGTGAAATAAAAACCCTCAATTGAATTCACTTGATTCAATATTTGTTAGCTGTGCGCCTGAAACTCTCCGATTATGACAGTCACCCTGAGGCCTTCTGTTTGGCGTAGGCTTTTTGATGGCTCTCTGCACAAGGATGAATTTCACCCTAAGTGCATATAAAATTGACATGTGCAATTTCTTATTAGCATCAGTTGATTTGTAGGTGCTCTGGCAACAAACCAGACTGGGTTCTTTGCTGTTGCATTTTATGTCCTCTGCCACTAGGTGGTATTGCATGCACTGACTCCACAGCCTGTCTCCCCAACCATCAACATCACTTCTTAAGCCTTCCCATTTTTGTCTCAGATCACTGCCCCTATTATAAGGTAATGGCTTTCTAAAAATACCCCGTCAGCTGCCACGGTGTGTTGTAAATATGCTGTAGCGATGCTGAGAGGGTGATGGGGGAGGGACAGGAACACAGACCCACCACTGAATTCTTTCTTCAGGAACAGCTGGAAGCTCTGCCGGCCTTTCGGGTCCCTCATCAGCTCGTTAAAATTAAAGGCCCATCGCTCCACGCGCATCCTGGTAGGGATTTCCACTCTGCAAAGGTTTGAGCACAAACACCACCGTTTCCCTCTGGAATCAGCTCACTGCTCACCGCGGGATTGGGCATATTAATTAAAAACAGAACGCCCTTCGCTGGAGTGCCAAGAGATTTCCCAGCGCCGTCTGCTTTCCAGTCCGCTGTAATGAGCTCCTGAGGTCAGCCCACTAGGTAAGTGGCAATTAAACAACCTTCTGCACAGTGGGATCAGGAATGACAGTCAGAGGGGCCGATTCTGCTCTGATTTACACCAGTTCTATACTGGTGCCACACCACTGGCTTGCTACTGCTGATTTACATTGGCGTGACGTTAGAATCCAACACAAAATATCTGGTGCTTCAGGCCTTAGGCAGGGAAATCTCTTGCTGAAGTTTTGCCTGCCCAGGACTGGGGTCCACACCTATAACTTAGCTAAGGATGCTCCCTTGCTCACAATTGGCCACATTCTGCTCTCGGGTGAATGGCAGCCCCTCACACTCATCCAAGAGCAGAATTAGGCCCAGAAGCATGGTATGAATTTATGAACTCCCATGCCATTAAGGAAGACTACACTTAAAGAGAAGGCAGATGATACTGCAAGTACAGACGTCAACACTGCCCAGGGACCACTGACCTTTCCGCGGTCAAGCTACCTCACATGCGAAGAATAGGAAAGCATCGCCACTTATCACAGGAGAGTGGATATCATGAGTAGGTCAATGCTTCTTTTATTTCAATATCCCGCAACGTAAAGGCTTTGTAAGCCACAAGTTGGTGGGAGAGTAAATACATACAGCTTTGCATTGAGCTCCCAGAACTCAGAGTCATCAGTTATCCAGGGGTTGCTGGGGAGGCATCCAGACATGATGGGATCATTGGAGAGGAACTGTTCACAGTACTTCACAAGCCTGAAAATAATTCAGATGAAACCAAGGTCATAGAATCATACCGTAGAATATCAGGGTTGGAAGGGACCTCAGGAGGTCATCTAGTCCAACCCCCTGCTCAAAGCAGGACCAGATGATCGGCTGCAAACAGCACTTCAAACAACATGTTTATAAACCTAAGGAAATTATTACACAGGGCTTGGACCTCTTCCTAAGTGCATGTATAATGGGGCCCGGATTCTGAATGGGACCTCTGGGTACCAATGCAATACGAATAATAATTAATAAGAACAATGAATCTTTTCCCATCCAGCCACAACACGCAACAAAAACACCCACCAGATGCAGGCCTGTATGTTGTCTTTCAAAAGTGGCCAGTGATCTTGGGGAGGTCCCAGTGTTTGGGAGCTGAACTTAAGACACACCCAAGGTCACACAGTGACTTCAGAAGCAGAGCGAGGAATAGATTCCCTCACAGTATGGTTGATGCTTTGATATGAGAGGAAGGGAGCAGACAGAAAGGAAAACGGATGTTGCAGGAACCTGAACTGGGATCCAGACAACCTGATTGATGGACTTCTGGGACAACTTCAAGAAGGACCTTGAGCAGCTGCCTTACAAAAATGGCATCTTTTTAATTTTGCTGCAATGGGTTCCCTCCCGGGGCTGTCCTGTCCAGCAGCCTGTCTGAGTGAACCCTGGGTAGATGGGGCATGACTGAGCATGCCCCAGTTGGCTATCACGTTCCTCTCCACTGTATAGCTCATTACTCTGCAGAGCACTTTGAGCTGTTTTATGTATGAAGCCAAAGTCTCTTCTGTTCTAGTAGGAGCAAAGCAGAGAAATATTTAATGTCCCACCTCCAGTTCAGGGGCCGGCCAGACTTGTAATTACAACCCATTTCATTAACACGCTGTGAACGTTTTTTTTCCCCTTCTTCACTTTTGAAAAATTCATTGGGTTTCTGTGTTTAAAATTCATCCCAGGCTACACTGCTCTCACGTGTTCAAAGCTGGGTGCGTGCTGTCCACAGCAGTGATGCTAACAGATATCTTGGCACAGGTCCTATATACAAGGCTGCTGCACAACGCATATTGTGGGTTTGACACCAGCACACTTGATACTATTGTCTCAGTGGAAATGCCAAGGCATTCAGCGCTCGCATCATTCAGTCCAAGCCATATATTCTAATCGAGCTGCAAATCTAAACCCGTCAGCTCAGGTTACAGTGCATTTCCAGCTCCTCCTGGATCAATAAAGCACTGTGATGTGTGCATACTGTCTGGAGACTGATCCTGCTCTAACCAATAAGGATTAGAGTCAGGCCTGATCTCTGAGATTGGCTCAAGGTCCACATTTCCTCAAAGCTGAGGGAAGCTTGGCTCTAGGGACTGGGTTTGACCCAGTATAGAGACAGGGCTAGTCACTCTTGTGTGAAGAGTTTCATCAGCAAATGTTAGCTAATTAAGCATCACAGCACCCCTGGGAGGTAGGCATGTGCCCTCAGCTCCAGTTCACAGACTGGGAAACGGAGGCACAGAGAGGTGTATGTGGCCTGCCCAAGGCCACAGAGGGGAGACAGAAGCAGAGGCAGGCACAGAACAAGAACTCCTGACTCCTTTCCCCCGTTATAACCACTAGCCCTCCCAGGCCTTCCTCAAGAATGTACCATTTCACACCCACCTGGGGAAATCCACTCCCAGGTAACATGGCCAGTACCAGGTGGATTGCAGGGTGGGGGGAAGGAATCCTCTCCAGAGAGCAGCCGCACAGCCAATGCATGGAGATTGCTTCAGCCCAATGATAGGAACGGTGGTTTCCACGTGTGAAGGTCATGGGGATAGGGCTTGGGACCCTGCTGTCCTTCTCAGCCATGCATTGCTGGGTAAGAGGTGCACAGCCTCCCAAATCCTCAGGGCTGCACCAGTCCCAAGGCCTGAATGCTCTTCACACCCCCAGGAGAAGGCAGGACTTGTCTGTGTGCAATTCCAAATACTATCCCACTATGACACGTCACCGTCCCCTCGCACTTTTGGTTGATTGATTCTCTGGCCTGTGTTAGGCAGGAGGTCAGACTAGATGATCAAAAATGGTCTCTTCCCTCCTTAAAATGTGTGGATCTCCCAGGCCCACAACTGCCCCTGTCCCAGCATTGCCAATCCCAAGCACTCAAGATTTCTGAGTGATGAGCCCCTACGCCACATCATGAGATTGGTTTAAACTCATTAATGTTTAAATATCCTGTAATACATTTGGGGGGAAAGGGAGTTGCCTTCTGGGTTTTGGGCCTCTAGAGGTCACATTCTCAGGTTTTCCTCCACAACCATGAGGGACAGAAACTTCTGGGGTTTTTTTAAATGAAAACTGGGATAGTCTGATGTCATCACATGACTCCAAGAACTGGAGCTTTAAGACAAAACACCAAATTTCACAAGACTTGCAGTAAAATCGCAAGAGAGGGTGGCACTATCTGCAAAACAGCTGGCGGGGCTTGATGTGCCTGGACTAGACTCCAACGTAACTGTCCAGCACATGCAAACCTCTGCGAGAAAATAAGTGACCTATGTCTGAGGTTGGGCATCATCATCTCCATGGCAAATGCCAAAGGGATGTGACCTCTTTGCCAATCAAGCACTACCCACATCAAATCTAGCTAGGTCCTTATGACGGTCTGGCTGGATGTTCGGTCAGTGTCTATCACTGGAGATCTTATGCCATCTAAGCTTCCAGCGCCCAGGTCACGTAGCAGCAGTGCTTGGTAAACATGCTTTGTAATTCATTGGTCTCCCATCCCTGAGAGCACGGCAGGTAACTGGCATGATCAGGGATCTGTTTGGGAAAGACCCCAATGGGGAGCAGGGCCGCCCAGAGGATTCAGGGGGCCTGGGGTCTTCGGTGGCAGGGGGCCCCCGCTGCCGAATTGCCGCCGAAGACCCGGAACTTCGGCGGCAGGTCCCGGGGCGGGAGGACCTCCTGCCGCCGAATTGCAGCCGAAGACCCGGAGCGGAAGAAGCTCCGGGGGCCTGGGCCCCGTGAGAGTTTTCCGGGGCCCCCGGAGCAAGTGAAGGACCCCGCTCCAGGGGCCCTGAAAAACTCTCGTGGGGGCCCCTGCGGGGCCCGGGGCCTGGGGCAAATTGCCCCACTTGCCCCCCCTCTGGGCGGCCCTGATGGGGAGTGAGGACAGTCTGTCACTCAGCCTACCGTGAGGACTAGCCTTCAGCCACCACTTTTAACAATGTGGGACAACCAGGATATGTTTACACTGTCCGCGGCACCGAGTTAACAGACTCAGGCTCTGGGGGCTCATGCTACCACGCTGAAAAAAGCTGTGTAGACGTCGTGGACCGGGCTGTGAAGCCCATTCCCTTCCTTAGGCTTCAAAGCCCGAGCTCCAGCCTCAGCCTCAACCTCTAAGCGCTGTCCACACAACTATTTATAGAGCGACAGTATAGCCCCGCAACCCCCAGTCTGTAGGCCCGGGCTGGGAGGCTTGGGCAGTGGAGACGCGCCCCCAAGCGACTTCATTCACCACATTCTGCAGAACACCCACATCGGGAACTAGAACACTGACACCCAGCTGATGGTGGCAAAGCGGGTCGTGGAGGGGAAGTGTCCATCTCCATTGGTCACTTAGCCCGCTACAGCAAACAGATACAAGACAGAGACACAGCAAAGCAGCCTGTGAAAAGCAGCTATTGCACTCTGATACCACCACCAGATACATTATCTGTCTAACATACTGGTAGTTCTGGTGCTTTCCACTGCTGGAACCAGAGAGTTTTCTTTATTGATGGTGCTTTGTTCCACTCTGTTTTCCCAAATAATCCTTTCCTTTTAACCCAGAACCTGGGTTACGTTCACGGCCCTTCAGCCTCACTAGTCAGGATACTGACTTCCTGTCAAAACGATGGTGGTGGTGATGAATATGACAGGGTCCCTATTCTCAGTCCCTGCTTAGTCAAAGTTCCCATTGGTTATAACTGGAATCTTAACGAAAGACCTGATCCTGTTCCCATTTCAGTTTATGGCTAATTGCAGAAGTGAGCCTTCATGCCAGGATTGGGACTCAGAGACTTCTCTGCTTTATGAGTGACCTTGGTTTTACCACCAGTTTCCAATCCAGTTATTACACAGCCTTGAGACACTGTGTCTAAAGAACACTGTGTCTAAAGAACACTGTGTGAGGCCATGCAATTAATTGCCCTAGTGTGTCACCCGCTGTCAGAGTAAATAGGTTAATCATCTCATTAACAGAAGAGAATTAAAGACTAATTAATGTGTGGGCATAAGGGAATCAGAACTTACCCTCCAAGGGAGACAGAAGACTTCACTGTGGACTTCATGATGACTTGCTGATAGTACATGATCTAAGAGGCACAGATATGTTTTGTAGTTAAGAGAATTGCAGTCATTTGGGTGAAAGCTGGTCATCTACTTCATCCCTTCTGCAAGATAGCAGGACAATTACAATCGTTTCTGCATCACCCCTAACAAGTGGGTGTCCATGGAGTCCCAGAGTCACTGAATTATTTTATCGCCACAGTTATTTTCATTAGGGTTTTTCAAATGTCTCGAGAATGTTCTATAATGTGCAAGTAATTAGCCGGAGTTCCCCATGCTCTATAATAATGGAATAATAGCTACAATGGCACTTCTGTCTGCACAATGAGTCTGATCGCCTACAGATGCTCTGGAGGATTTAGGTGTGCGATTATCATTGCTACTTGGCTGTCTCTATGCTGGCAACTTTTGGGATATTTCCTATCATGGTTCTACCACTGGTGCAGCTCCATCAGTATTCAGCAACGGTGGGAGAGTTTTCACCACGACATTGTTTAATCCTGCTGAGAGCTTTCCCACCATTGCTCACAATGATGTCAGTGCAATGCGGGGACATTTCCTGAAAATGCATTAGACTGAAAGCTTTTGGAGGCAGGAACAACGTTGATCTGTGTGTATGAGAAGCACCTATCTTTGGGCACTAATGCACCACAAATTCCAACAACAACAATAAGAGACAAACACCTAATATTTGCAAAGACGTGAAGGTCAAATTACCTCTCTTCTATAAACATCAATGGTTTTTTTCTGTAAAACAAAGAAGCAAAAGCATTAAAGTTGGGTGGGTACTCAAAACTACTCTTTAAAAGAAGAAAATGCAGTTACAGGATTCCCTATTGGGAAAGGTTCTCCCGTTTAACCCTCATTACAATTGAAAACAAATACAGGCTAGCATCCAAGCAGCTCATCTAATCGGGGTATCGTCAATTCTTATTTAGTCTGCAGAAAAGAAGAGGGAGGGGGGATTTGATAGCAGCCTTCAACTACCTGAAGGGGGGTTCCAAAGAGGATGGAGCTAAGCTGTTCTCAGTGGTGGCAGATGACAGAACAAGGAACAATGATGTCAAGTTGCAGTGGGGGAGGTCTAGGTTGGATATTAGGAAACACTATTTCACTAGGAGGGTGGTGAAGCACTGGAATGGGTTACCTGGGGAGGTGGTGGAATCTCCATCCTTAGAGGTTTTTAAGGCCTGGCTTGACCAAGCCATGGCTGGTATGATTTAGTTGGGGTTGGTCCTGCTTTGAGCCGGGGGTTGGACTAGATGACCTCCTGAGGTCTCTTCCAACCATAATCTTTTATGATTCTATGATTCTAATGCTAAGTGCATCTACAGACCATATGTGGCTCCATTAGATGTATGTATTGTATAGTGCCGCCTACTCCATCACAGCCTATGTGCATTCAATTACAGGGTTATTCTAATGGAGCTAAAATAGATTCATTTAGCAGACACAGATTAGATCATTCAATATTAGTTAAAGGAGACAGGAACCAACACATTGCAAAATATAAACACCACAATTAAAAAGCCTCAGAAACAATATCTGCGGTGGAAAGGTGGTTAAATTGTGATTTGAATAGCTCAGACTATGTTATATGTCATCCACAAACGAACGAGCAATTGAAGGCAAGAAATTAACTGCAGGGTGTTTATTCACGCAGCTTCCTTTGAAGCGCAGCACAGTTATTTTGTCTTGAATAAACTGGAGGAGAGAGAAGGAAAGGCAGGTAAAGTCAGGGATCTTCCAGGCAAGCCTCTAAAACCTTGTGTAGGCTTTTTAGCCCCGAGTCTCCCATTAAAGTCATGCCGCTAATCTGCCATGCGTGATCTTTGGAGCTGCAGCCCAGAATTATCCCATCTAATTAACGCTGTGGGAGAATCAGTGCCATGGATTGCTTTGTGGCAGGCCAGCACTTGCGAAAAGTGTTGGCTTGGCAGCCCTAGAGACCCAAGTCCTTTGTCCACTGAGCGAGTACAGGATGGACAACAAGACCAGCACAAGTTCCTCCCTCACCCCCCACAGTCTCGCCAGTGAACCTCAGCCTTGATCTTGTCAGCTGCATCTGTACTGAGGCAAAATTCCCACTGCAGTTCACAGGAGTTTTGCCTGGAAAAGGGCTGAAGGATTGGGCCCTTAATTTAAAGATTTGGCAGCAATTTTGATGGGCTGTAGTAATACCATTTGGAAAGTTAAATTTGCAGACATGAGGGTTAGATGCTTCTCTTTTAAACAACAGCTTAGATTATTCAGAATCTGTACATGCCATGTGGGTCACAGAAATATGTCCAGCACATCAGATCCAATCCAGGAGCCAGGTACTGGACACCTCTGACCTACCCCCCAAAAAAGAATTCATTCCTTCTGCTTTCTCCTGACTGCTGCATAATCCCCTCAGGCCACCAGTGCCACGTTTGCTTGCTATGATCAGAGAGCTACCACTCTCCAGCTGCACACAAGCACCCTTTTACACATATGGAGGGAGAAAATGTGCACACCCAGCTGTTTCTGACAGGATATACTCACCACCTCAGTGACAAGAGTGGGATATGCAGCAGAGCATCCAGCATGCACCATTCTAACACAAATCCAGCCAGTGTGATGCTAACACAAACCTATCCCGTGTGGTACTAACACAGATCTAACCTACATGACATAAGCAGGAGAAGGTCTTTTCAAGAGACATCCATTGGAAATATCATGAATAGATCTGACCTGCTGCAGTGAAAGCGACCTCAGCTGAAACAAACAAGCTAATAGGAAAAGCAAAAACAATTTCTGCACCAATGAGAGTGATTCCCCACTCAGGGCCGGCTCCAGGCACCAGCTTAACAAACAGGTGCTTGGGGCAGCCAAGGGAGAGGGGCGGCACCTGCGGCAATTCGGGGGTGGCAGGTCCCTCACTCCCTCTAGGAGCGAAGGACCTGCCGCTGAACTGCCGCCGCTGATTGCGGCTTTTTTTTTTTTTTTTGCTTGGGGCGGCAGAAATGCTGGAGCCAGCCCTGTCCCCACTAGATACATGCAGGACCTGATGTGAATGAGAGTGAGGCTTACACAACAAGGGGAAAATGCAACCCCTCGGAGTACAATAAGATCTTTTCACACATGGGATCCAATGGCCTTAATCTGCTTTTGGAGGACTTTGCATTTGATGGAGGACACAACTGCCTTGCTTAGATGGAAGGGACTGATAAGTAGCACGTGCTGGTGAAAGACAGGGAAGGAGAGAGCTTATTAAAAATAGGGGCATCGCTCCTGTTGTCTGTGTACAGGCAAAACTCCTGTGGGTGTCCGCAGCATGCAAGGAATCAGGCTCGGAATGTAAAGCTCCAATGGTATCAGCTGATTAGTATTGGAAACTTGAAGACAATGGGAGTTCTGCTTGAGCCTCGGCTGCAGGCTCATTATTTGCAACAAGCCTGTTATTCTGCACGTGGTTAAATTGTTAGTTGAAATCTGCACCCACTGTGTCTGTCATATTGGGCCGGATTCTGGGCCCAGTGAAGTCAATGGGAAAACTCTCGTTTCTTTCAATGCAGCATCAGCTTCATTGTAAGTACTGTGAGAGCTGATAGCATATTACATACGGGGACTAAAGATCAGCCTGTGTTTGCACACATTTCCTGTTCTGAGTTGGCACCGCTGGCTAAATAGTACCTATTAAAGCCACATAAAGATTCCTCACATTTCTACATGGGTTGTCTTTATTTCAGATCCAATTGCTGTAGCCATGGAGGGCAGAAAATCATCTGCTTCTACCCATTCCCATAGGACAGACTGAAACCCACTGCACTTCTACTACCTTAGAAAGTACCTTCTTTGGAGAACTACAGTTCTATTCCAACCAAGCTATTTCATGTATAATGGGAGTTCACTATCTTCCTGAGGAGCCCTGAGACATAATCAGAACCCTCCAGATTTACCAAGTGCTGGCTAAACTATTCCACTTGCTGAGGCATGAGGGTGGCTGGTGCGGTTAATTTAGGAAACATCAATGGGTTGACTCCATTAGATCAGAAAGAAAAATCTTCTAAATTAAAGGCCCCCCTCACCATGGGCGGTGGGTATCATAGGCAGGGGTAGGCTGTGCCTCCCCAAACAGCCTAGCATTGCCCCGCCCACGCTCCGTCCCCAGGCCAGGCCCTGTTCTGCAGTTCCCAGTGCTCCGCCCTAGCTGGCCCAGGCTGCCTGGGGCTGGCTGGCCTGCCTCCCGCAGGGACTCAGGGTGACTGGTGCTGGGGCCGCGCTGCTCGGAGCACCGGGGCTGGGGGCGCTGCAGCCGTGCCGCCCTGCCACCTGGAGCACCAGGGCTGGGGACAGCCTGGCTGGCTCCAAAGCACCAGCAGCGGGGGCGCTGCCACCCAGCACACGGGGGTTGGCCATGCCACCCGAAGCACCGGGGCTGGTCATGCCACCCGGCTGCCCAGAGCACAGCGCGCTGCTGCCTGGCACTCAGGGGCTGGCCGCCCGGAGCACCGGGACTGGAGCCTCGTCGCCTGGCACTGGGACCCGTGGTGTGGGTGCTTTGGGCTCCTGCGGGGAGAGGGGGCAAACGTGGAGGGGGAGGGCAGAAGGGGAGGACGAGAGGGAGGGCAGAAGGGGAGGGGCCAGGGCTAGCCTCCTCCAACGGCTGCCTATGCCCCCCACTGATCTTTATTATCCTGGATGGATATTTCTGACAGACACAATGCAGCTGGATGAGAAGAGAGGAAAGGAGGATGCCCAGCAGAATGGTTGTAGACGGCTTTCATGGAAGTTAAGATGCTCTAGTCTTCTACAGCGCAACAGATCAAGAGCCTCAGAGGCAGGCAGGCAGCCATGACACACGCAGGAGAAACAAATAACTGGTGGGAAAGAGAAAAAGAGGGGTGGGGGAGAGTAAATTAAATGTTACCTAGAGTAATAAATCCATGAATGAAATTGGCATTGTTAGTCTTCAGAAAAATATCAAAGCTCTTCTCCAATCTGTCTGTGTTGTAACACCACTAACGTCCTACCTAGGCACCTGGCAGGATTCATCTGGAAAGCATTCCTGAGTGTTTTGTATTGACTTCAGTGAGAGCGCTGGGTGTGCCAGGGATGCAGGAGAGCCGGCCTTTGACAAGACAAACGGGTTTGTTTCTGAAGCAGGGGGAGTGACCTTACTTTGGAAATGAAGGCCCTGCAGCAAGAGGTAATGGGTCACCACAGTAAAGAGGTTGGCACAGTGAGCCCTCTGGGATCTCCTCCATTCCCAATTTGAGGGTCACAAGCAGGTGTCAGGGGTCATGGCCCCTCCCCCTTCCATATTGCTAAACTGGAGGGTGGTCCCAGCTAGCTAGGAGGAGGCGGGGTCCAAACTAGATGGGTGGCGGTGCCAGGGGCATCACAGAAAAGGGGGTCATGGCATGGTAGCTGAGCGCGCTGAATCTGGGATGAATTGAAAGGTGGGCACAGTACGGAACACATGATTCCCCATCCCCTCCCAAAGGCTGGTGCGAGTTTTGCTGGGTTTGCAGGATAACGCCCCCTGTGCCTGGCTCTAGACAGTTGTATTCGCCCCTTGCTTTCCCGAGTACTAAATTCACACAACCCTACACACGGGGATGGGGGCTGTGATTTAAACATACCGATTCTGAAACAGCAACTGGATCCTCTCAAAGGCATGAAACCATTAGGAAGTAACTTCCTTCTTGATCACTTGGCTTTCTCCTGGAGTGGGGCCCCAAACATATCCCCCAAATCCACACCCTCTCCCCCCAGCTTTG